GATGAACAATTATTTGTTGCTGATAATCTTGCTTATTTTCCATATCAAGTTCAAGATGAACCATTATTTATTATTGAACAAATTGATTTATCTATAAGTGTTAGTGGTTCAACACAATTACAACAATTTCGTGATTTATTAAAACAACATTTAGATTATACTGATGATGATGAAGGTATTGATATAACTAAAATTGAAAAAAAATTATATGATGTATCTGAAACAATAATTAATGAATTAAATCAATGTTTATATACAACAAAATCAACAATGTTATTATTATTATTAAAATCTTATCTTAAAGATGTTTATTATTTAAATGATACAAAAATTATTGAATATGATCATACAGAATCATGTAAAATAACTGATCGACCAATAGTTACACGAAAAATAAATGTTAAATTTGAACCGAAAGTTATACTTGATACAATTAAACCAATAATAAAATATGATAATTTTCAAAAACGTAAACAAATTATAAAAGAATTCGGTGATTTTAAACGATATTTACTTGCATTTGATGCTGATATTGAAGATACAATACAATCTATATCGGAATTATTACCAGCATCATATTCAACACCAACAAAAGGAAAGAAAAAAGGTAGTGGAACAAGTAAACGACGAAAAGTTATGATTGATTCCGATGATGACAGTGTTAATGGCGATTTTTAGCCATAAACATACATATGTATATAAATTCATTTGTGCCGATGTTTGTTATAATGTAAAATAATTGTTTTCTGTGTTTATTATGTATTTCTTCTTGCTTATTTGAAAACATTTCCTCATTGTTGTTTACTTCTGTAAAGTTAATTCATAACATAACTTTTCGCTTTTTTTTTCTTTTTGGTCCGATATATGTTGAAAAATTTCATTTCTTTTTTTTTGACTTTGTATAATTAAAGAAAGAAAATATTTGTATTTGTGTATTTATCTCGGTTTTTTTCCTGTGTGTTTTTGCGAAACATTAATAAATAATTAAAAGTATTGATTTCGTCTGAATAGATATAATTTTGACTTTTGTTTCGGCTTTATCGAAGACGCACTCGTACTAATATAGTAGTAAGGGCATAAATATTATGTGTCCTTAAATACATTTTAATGCCTAACATACTCTTCAAAAGTTGACAAGATAATCTTGTAATGGAGTATTATGGATTTAAATGTTTCAGAGAAATGAAACCGATAATGATATATATACTCAGGTAGGCATGATCTTTAAAAAAACCGCGTCCAAACAGCGTACTTACGGTGTTTTAACGGTAAGCCATTGTAAAAACGCCGTTTGTACGAATTGAGGGTGCGGGTGTGAGCAAGATACGCCCACACCCACGCCGTCACACTCACACCTTCAAGATGGTCTTTCTTGCAGTAAATCGATAACCACTAATTGCATATCTGCATCTTTTATTCGAGAGTTTATACCAGCTGATATAACAATAAATTGCAATATGTAAGAGGACAAAAAAGAAATTTTACTTTTTCGTTGTCGTCCAATAAATACATATATAGTTCGATTGACTACTGTATTGTTTGGACTAGTCATCATCTTTATGTATACTAATAATTGTTGCCTCTATTTAAAAGAAGCAAATCAATAATAAAACAAATCAAAAATCATTTTTAACAAAAATTCAGTTACAACATTTTATGAATGTTTTGGATGAAAATAATAAAAATCTTGATCGCCTTTTTCGGAATTCTTGTTCCATTACCCAGGACGATGGTTCCTGAAGCAGAATTTCAAAAATTTCCGGCGAAATCCCTGAGGAAACTCACCATTTCCGGGCGGAACCCGCCCGGAATCCGATGGAGAAGTGAGGTAATCGTATTCGGCTGCTGGTTTTGACATGTTCCTGTCGGTTCCTGTCCAAACCAGATAAATCCGGTCACTGGATCCGTTCAACGGGAATAATGCTTCCATGAAATCACAGGAATACCATGAAACCGGCCGTTTCCGTGCCGGATTGTTCGACCTGGATAGTTCTCTTTTGTTCATCGCTAGCTGCCTTTAAACAAAAAGAAGGATTTTTTTTGGCAAAGTATACACGAGATGGTGCCCAAATAGTTTATCTATGGATAGCCATAATGGGTGCCTTTGGTTTGAATACCGGTATCAATTATCGAAATGGTCGTATCACATTAAACATGATAACAATTATAATTCTTGGTGCTTCTTGTATGCACCTATCTTATTAGCACATGGCCACCGTATTTACAACGAAATTAATGTAAAAAAAAGACTAACATTCATCTCTCTTGTTTCTTATCGTTCTTTTTTTGCTCTTGCTCTTTTCTCATTTTCACATATTTATTCTTTGTTAATAAAATCATCTTGTAGTATAGATTTTCATACATACTATCTTTCCTTACTGATCATCGAATCTTTTATTTATGCTAATCGCTTTCAATGACTTTTTCAAACAAATGAGTGACTTATTATTGATATATACACGTACATGTTGATATAAATAATGATTAAGATGGCAAGTGACAATATGTGTTTTGATGAAAAGAAAAATCTAAGATAGACAAATCTAAAAGAAGGAGCAAGAATAAGAGAAAGAAAAATGAAAGTGATAAACAAAAGTAGAGAACAACACGAAATGTGATGACGTACAAAAACAGCATGTCAAAAAGAAAATATCGTTGTCTAATAAAGATATGCTTAATCATTTGCATATTCTACTTTTATTTATGTAGTTGATCTCGACCAAATCGAGTTCTGAACACTTATTTCCTACTCTTAAGTTCATTCTGATCGGTATGAATTTACTAATAATATATGGTTGATAGTGTAATATAACATTATTGTTATAATTTTATATTCAAAATGAAAAGTCCTCTTTGATCTAATTTTTCTATTTTCAATAATTACTTCATACAATCGTCTTTTAGAACTCTAATTCTTTTGAACAACAAGACATATCATTAACCATTATTTATATCAAATACAGATTTAAATATAAAAATGATTAAATAGAGATCTTTTTTTCTTTATAAATCATTAGAAAGTTTCTCATCGTTATAATCAATAACGAAATAACTACAATACGGAACACAATAAAAAGTACAAGTGCTGAAATCATATACTCTATCAAGAAAATTTATGAAAATAAAATTGCTTAGTGGCGGCGCCAAGGGGGGGCTGGCGGGGGCTCAGCCCCCTCAGAAATCATTCGAGCCCCCTCAGATTTTTTAAAATTCTCGTAAAAAAGTGATGATTCTCTTACAAAAACATAAATCTAAGGGGGCTGAGCCCCCTCAGAATTTTTTTGAGGGGGCCTTAGCCCCCCTAAAGTGAAAATTCTGGCGCCGCCTCTAAAATTGCTCTCACATATTTCTTTTAGTCATCCATTATAAGGCAACTATCAAGTTTCTATATACGTTATTAAGATTAATGCTACATATACGTCAGTTAGAATTATTGCACTGAAGTAAAAGATTATATTTTACAAAAAAAAGATTGTTGTTCATTTTATTAATTGTCAGAAAATGATTCTAGTCAATCATCACGTGCGCGAGAAGCAATGATTTGATATTTTTCTTGTTCCCTTTCTGATCTTTTATTTCATTCAGAAAATAGTAATGCAAAGTGTGATCTTTGTCATTGAATAAGATCATCGTTAACAATAAATCAACGTAGACAGTTTTTTTAAAAAAGATTTACAAGAAATTCGCAGCATTCACGTCAGTTCTATACCCTTTATATCATTGGTATAAAATAGATGATTTTATTTTAAATTGATTACATACGATTGAGTAAATGAAATTTTCTCTAGAGAAATGTTTTTTGGTATTTTGATTGGAAAGGTAGAGCCGAGTTTATAAGCAAATAAAAGACATCCAATGAAGCCGATCAATTGCGTAGTAAACATCGAAATAAAACGAAGATCAAATAGTATTTCGAACGGACGACATGTCAACGCACCCATGATTTGAATACAGACGCAAGAACCGGCTAACAACAACAATAAAGCCAATGCAAGTTCAAATTGTTCAATCACTCGAAAACAATCACTTAATCGTACACTTGCAGTCAGACACAGTGGCCAAAAAATCATCATTAACATGAAAGCAATAGCACATTGAACACGGATAAAAGCATGAAATGCATGACCAGAGGAATAGAGTGAACATCGTTCTACAAAAAAAAAATAAAGCAAATCTTTTTGAAACAGATACGTGCTTATAAACCGAAGCTGAGCCCAATATTTTTGGGTTAATAATTATTTTAATTTTCACGTGCTTATTTGTTACGATCGATTCTTCTGTATTCATTTATCTCAGTATCAGAGCAAGAAGCAAGCAAAAAAAAACTTTTTTCTGTGGCATTTCGAAATGTTTTCCTTAAGTAATCATAATGTATTGGATAAATGAATACTTTCCAGTTTTTATATAGTTACGTAGAGAATTTATTTCTCTATAAACTATCTATTTTTTCCTCTCTAGTTTCTTTCTAAGTTTGACGGAAAATTTAGTGAACTCCTAACAAATTATTTTGATAAAATTTCAATTATTTATTTTTGTCGAGTAAATTCTACTCGTCTAATTATTTCAACTTTTCCCATTATGGTACGGAAACTGAGATCGATGACTTATCGAATCAATAGCAAATGCTCTATGATTGGTATCTTGATTATTTTGAACGGGACTAGATATAATTTTGGTACTAATTGATAGAGAAAATTATTTTGCTATCGAACTGTGTTTTTGGTTTTTTTTAGTGACAATTCAAATGAGACTTAACTCAATACAAACTTTAATGATATTTTTTTTCGTTACTAGATACTTTTTCGGAAAAAACCAAATACGCAGTTCGATAGAGAATAATTTTCTCTATCTACTAGTGTCTATCATATATCTTATGCCCTATCCGAAAATCTCTCGATCAATAATCTGTAATTTGCTATTGTTTCACTTTTTTGCTTGTGATTGTTGTCCACAGCTTCTATACCATTAATATATAGTTGGATAGAGCAAATTTTTCTATTGACACAAATCCAAAGTTATTAAGTTGAGAAGATTTCATGTCATATAGTTATTCCATGTATACATTAAATAAGAAACATATTATCAGATATCTGCTTATTATACTTACCAACGTAAATTCTCTCAATAACGTCTTCCATTATATTCGATGGCGTATTATCAGGAGGTATTGTGAACGGCAACCATAAACCAGTGAACACACAGTACACCAGGAGAGGAATATAGATAATCATCAGCAAGCAGCATTCGGCAAGTTTATCGCCGCGTTTTTCCCTATATACATAAAACGTCAATGAGTATTGTTTTTTACTGTTAACAAAGTTTATTTAATTACTATATCACCAAGAAAAATAACAAAAATCTTTTGTTGTTAGAATGAAATAATGAATGAACAAAAAACGTTAGCTTTTGATTTTATATAGTTATGTTAGTTACGAGTAAATTAATACTTACGCGTCTATTTGTCTTGACGATTTTGATTTATTTCGAAAATTTCTTTGCCGAAAATAATGTCTGGAAGCAAATAAAACAGATTGGCGTTGTTGACTTGCGCCACATAATAATCTTGAGTATAATTTCCTCATAATATCTTAATAAAAAAACGAATATTATTTACAACATCTATTTGTCGTAGCCTTCCGATAATATACATGTAATCCATATATTTTCAAAAAATATTTTTTTCAATCTCGTATTATTTCAATACAGATGAACTATGATGGAATGTTTTCATTCAGTAAAGATGGTATACACATCATTTTTACGAATGAACATTAAATAAATTACACAGAACAATACTTCACGTGATATTGTAGATCTTTTCTGACGGCTTAGTTCTGCAGCTATTAAAATAGATGCTTAGAATATTACGCTCTACTACAAGAAACAAGTTAAATGCTTATCAGACTCAGACTCGTATTAAGTAACGATTTTCAGAACAAACTTTTCCATGTCTCGAATGAAAAATAAGCGAACGAGAATTGCTCGCTGTTAATTGCTCGATACGAAAATTGGTCAATATGAAAAATGCTCGAGAGCTTAATTGAAGAAAAATAATCTATTGTGCGCTGCTAGTTTATACAAATAAGAAGGACTACTGGAATTTATTTTCTTAGGATTTATGTTTTACAGAGGATTTATTGGGACGTATTAGCTGAATCATCTTGAGGGTGGATGTGGGTATCACGTTGTATTACTTTCAGATCCACACCCACACCCTCGAATAGCTTTAGAGGCTTCTCGTAGTATTTTTTGTCTGTATTTTCCTTTTGCATTCTTTATTTAAATATTAAAATATTTGTTAGAAAAACGTAGTCATCTATTCTCAATTAAAAATTGTCAGAAAGAAAGAAAATTGAAATTAATGATAAATACCACAAAACTTAATATAATGTGAATAGTTGTTCTTATCCATATTTATGCTCAAAAGATCGTCAATGAAATATTTGAAGTTAGGATTATCAACATGTGAAAGTGAATGATATTTGGTAAACGATTAAATTAAAGTAAAGACTTAGAGACAAAAAAGACATACTCACCAAATCAAGTTAGATTGATGTTAACGAACAATATAAAAAGTTCAGTTTCGTCGTCGCGAACATGGACGGAAAAGGTCATCGATTGTCTTTCTTTTTTTTCTGTTAGACAATCAGAAAATATAGTTTCTAAGTGGAACATCCATTTTACGATTTTCATTTAAAAATTTCAATTGCAAACATATACAATATATTTTGGTAATTATACTGAATCAGGCCAGTTCTTGCTGATATCTTTAATAATAAAAAATATGGGGTTGTTTATTGAAGTTTAAGTGGATATTTTTTTTTCAATTTTTAGAAAATTAAACATGACGGTCATTTACACTTCTCGCAGTTCTCGACGATCACAATCGACAATGTTCAAAATAGGACTCAACAAACTTCGTTCTCGTTTGATTACAACTCATCGCACAAAATTACCTCGTAAAATCATATCGAAGTACGAAGAATATCTTTTTCTGTTTTATGAATTGCATGTAATTCAACCAAGAATAAATACCACAGAATAGATACCTTTAATACTACCTACTACTTTCCGACTTATATTTATTTTCAAACAGATTCTCTAGCAGTCCTTCAATAGAATTTGATACAGTTTCATTTCGATTGACAAAAAAACATGCGTGCTGTAGTCGAATATCTCGTAAACGTAGATGCACGGTACAGATGTATTCGATACGGTTAAGATATAAGAACGTGATATTCCTGACCAAGATCTACGCTTACAACATGTTCGACTGGAATATACTTCAAAGCCTGTTTTCTAGAATTATTCAAAAAAAATTAAATATTTCTTGGTTTGTGTCTGTCTCATTCTCTAATTGTAGGCCGAAAACAGTTCTGTACTATATATCCGTTTGGATGAATAGATGGAGTTTAGTGCATTCGACAATGATGTTCATATACATCATGATTCATTATTGGTCATCTTTGATAAATAACAGTACCATCACTTTTCAATCAAATAATGAAACACTGATAAAACATGAATATTTCAACTGGATTCACTATGGTGAGTATATCAATTTTGAATATTTTAAAAAGAATTAATTAAAAAGTGATTGAACGCAAGAGTTTTTGTCCATCTCTTTCAGATTGGTGTTCATCGTCATCTCGCTTTCTTAACAATACTCATAGTTATGCAATCGTAGATCAATCTCTTATTCGTCTAAGTGGAACTTGCTATATTATGTTAATTATTGGTCTTCTCTTTTATTATTTTAATTTAAATAAAAAATCAGTCAATGATAAAAGTTTAAATTTCTGGTATGGATTGTTAGTACTTAGTATGTTTGTTGGTTCATCCATCTGCAACCAATGGATTAGTTCACTCATTTGTCGACCAGTTGAAATATTGTATGATAAAAGATTTTCATCAATTCTTGGTGTACAAATGATTAGTTTTATCGCATGTATTCATTTGGCTTATGGTTTAGGAACTATTTTTACACCAGTTTTTGATCAACGTGCAATCACTTTATCCAGATTAGATAGTTTTACTCCATTGTTTTCTTCAGTAGATAATATGCCTTGATTGTAATTGAATATTGATTTGCTATGTAATAAATATGTTAACAATTAGTTGTTCTCTTTATTGAAGAAAAACCTTTCTTTTCTTTGACCTTTTTTTTACTATCCTACCGATCGTTAGGGATGCACCAATTCCAGTTCCAATTCAAGGATTGGAATTGGTTGAAATCGATATGGAATTGACTCAAAATGACTAGAAATCGTGGGAACTTTCATATCATTTAATGAAACTGACCGGAGCTAAGACTAGATTAGTACGATCACTATAAATTACTGAAAATTGGTCTGATTGAGCCAGTATTTGTGAAAATTTTTCTATAATTGACTTAGAATTGGTTAGAACTCACACAAAACTGAATAACTAGTGTTAATCCTTAATCATTATAATTAATAAAAATTAGAATACATTCGAATAGAAATAACGAAAGTTTATTTCTATTCTAAATCAAATATAAAAATGTTTTTTACAAACGCTGGCTAAACCAGATCGATTTCCTGTAGTTTATAATGATCCGTACTAATCTAGTCTTAGCTTCGGTTAGTTTCATTAAATGACATGAAAGTTCCTACGATTTCTAGTCATTTTAAGTCAATTCCATATCGATTTCAACCAATTCTAGAATTGGAACCGAACCGAATTGGAATTAGTGCATGCCTAGTTAAAATTTCAAAATTTTTACGCGTATTTCTCCGTTTTTTTTTGAGTATTTCCTGTCTGGGTACTGTGAATTTTATGTTTCAATTTTTTGATTGAAAATTACTGCAATAGAATATTTCATATTTTTTTATATAGTATTATTTTTAACAAAAAAAAACAATAGTAAATTTATGATTTATGGTAATTCTTCGTATAAATGATATTCCATTGTTGAACAAGACGATATAGATGAATTTTGTTGAGATATTGGGAAATTGTATAACGCTGATACAGCAATAGGTTGAGCTGATGGTACTGAAGATGAAAGTTCTGGTGATTTCTTATTTTTATACATTCTTCTTTTCCAAATAAAGAATATTATTAAACCAATAATAATAGTTATGAGAGCACCTGCAACAATACTAGCCACAATAGCACCAACATTTAATGTAACTATATTAGTTTGAGAAGAACTAGTATCACCAGATGGCATTGTAATAACCGGATCTATGAATATAAATAAAAATACCTTTATTATTCTATCTAATTGAACAAAATCAGGAATCAATGCCTGAACATGATGGACCATGAAATCCAGCAAAACATTCGCATTCTGCACTATCACTATCATCTGTACATATACCATGTCCAGATGTTTCACATTGATTACACAAATCTGTAAGACCTAAGAAACAAATACTAATTACAATTAATTTGACATATCTCGATAGTTTTTAAAATATCTCAGAAAAATATTTATACTAAAGATCTTATGTAGTACTGTATACGAAATTAGTTTATTGAAATAGATAGTATATAAAATAAGAATACAAACCTGTCATTTGTATAGAATATGTCACG